CATAAGCTTACCCAATCTTTAATTGCTGCAATCGAGCGAAGAACCTCTCAGGTAAACATGTCTGAATAAAAATAATACTCCAATTTAAATTTACGCTGATCAAATATCAACCAATATATACAGGGATTGAGGTTGGATGTATGCACCCAGAACAGAATTGGTTTGTTATCTGATATTACAAGAGTGTTTCGGGAGAACGGCCTGTCGATAGCCAGAGCAGAGATCGGCGTACAGGGAGACAGAGCTACGGGATCCTTCTATGTAACAGATACTGCAGGGAAGGATGTGAATCTGAACACAGTGGAGAGGGTGAGGCAAGAGCTTGGAGGAACTGTTTCGGTGGTGAATAAGTCTTCCAGTAGGAGTTCTTGTTTTACTTCAACGACGAGTCTCGGTAGAAACAGTGGCAGTAGGGTGGAAGAGAGTCCGAGATTCTCTTTTGGCAGCCTCCTCTGGTCACAGTTCGAAAGACTTTCTCACAATTTCAGCTCCATCCGGCCCTGACAAGTAACTTGGGACTTGGGATCTGTTAGATTTTCTTCTGTATTGTACTCGTAGGTATACACAGGGTTTTCTTCTGTATCCAACGACGAGTCTCGGTAGAAACAGTGGCAGTAGGGCGGAAGAGAGTCCGAGATTCTCTTTTGGCAGCCTCCTCTGGTCACAGTTCGAAAGACTTTCTCACAATTTCAGCTCCATCCGGCCCTGACAAGTAACTTGGGACTTGGGATCTGTTAGATTTTCTTCTGTATTGTACTCGTAGGTATACACAGGGTTTGTACATAGAAGCTCGATAGTTTATCACTTTATTAGTAGTTACTACCTAGCGTAATTATATTTATCTATGCCCTCTATTCTAAGAATGCATCTATGTTCTTTTTTTAAAAAAAATTGTATTTATGTCAGTTTTTGCAATAAAAATATTATGTAGAAAAAACTTTAGAGAAGTTTTGTACTGCTCAGACTCTTGAAATGGATGAATTGTATAAACGAAATCAAATAGAGTTGAATGCGCTGCAAATTACAGCGCATACTTCATGCTCACATTATCATCCAACTCAACTGGCCATTATGTACAAAACATATAGTCTCCAAACCAAACTCAGGCTGAAGCAATGAAATTCAGGATATAATGGCTATTCACAATGAGGTAACAAGATCGAAAGGTATTAACTGGTAAGTGCTATTTGCATTCCCCTCTCCGTAGTAAATGAATTATTGCAAAAGGAAAAGAGGATTGTCAGATATCAATTGGGTAAGTGTGGACAACACTACCCTATAAAACACATAAAACACCTTGAAGGCTTTCATGACATCATCACATCTCATCTATGTCATCCAGATCAAGCCAGTCACTTGATTCCTTGTTCTCGGAGTTATGGACACTTACCTGTTCAGAACCAGTAGTTTTTTCACCAACAGGGTTAATATCCTTAGTTGAGCCTGTGGAGTTTCTTCCCAGCTGAACCCAATCTCGGGAGTCTTTTGCTGAAGAATCAGAACCAGAGGTCACTTTCTTGTAAGTTACGGGCACATCGTCATCATCCTCAAGGTCACTGAATGATACATCTTCATCGTTGGCAAGAGGTATCGGGGTTCCACCCATACTAACTATTTCGGAATTTTCCTCTTTCAACCAATCATCACCATCACCATCATCCTCAAACTTCTCATCTAAAATACTAGATGAACTAGAACGCATGGGTTGCGATTTGCCTTGATGATGCACTGGTTCTTCCTCAATGACAGATTTATCAATAACTGGCATCTCCATACTTTGAAACGGGTGCTTCTCTGTTTCAA